GCCTTCATATGGCTCTCGCAAGCTTCTTTGAACCAGAGATAAGGACACCCATGTGTCTTTCTGTAAAGACCTCTCCATATAAGAGATCCTTGGGTATACAACCATTGTCCACTCTCTGTATTTGACCAAGCCATCAAAGTCAACACTAACTAAATTAACTGTCCCTGGGACCCAGACATCCCCCACTGATTCCAGCTTAGTGTATTTTGTGTCCCAGGGTTTCACAAAAATCACATCTTATCCCTAGCAGTTTGGATTTATGCGCCCCCAAAGGGTTGACTCTTAATGGGGGTCCCTGGCTTACCAGTCCAGATGACTTATGGCTCCCCAGTTTCTCAATCTCCAGTTCATGGTTCCTCGGTTTTTCCTGGTCCTCATGCTCCAGCTTCATCCGCAGCCTCTGCAACTAAAGCTCCTTTTCTCTGGGCATCAATCCCTGCCTCTCCAGCCCAGCACCAGGGAAAGGGGGTTGGGCTGAAATCTGGCTGTTGCTCTGGCTACTGCCATCACTGATTGCACCTGCCCTCCCATGTTGACAAGCTGGGCTGCTGTCCTGGTGTCAGTTCTGTAGTTGGTTCCTGGTCCTGAACTCCACGGCTCTATACCATCTGCATGATTAGTTGAGCCTTCTTTGTCACTCTGGGATCCCAATACTGACAACACTTTTCACAGAGTGCCCTCAAGGAGGATGCTTGCTTGGGACTGCTGCGTGCTTGTCTGGTCTCAGAGAGTCCCTTGAAGTCAGCTCAGGCTTGGCTTATAGAGACGGGGTGGAGCCCAGGCTCCTTCCCATGCTGAGATCTTGGCCTTTCAGTCTCTCATCTTCTCTGTTTCTCCATGGCCTTGACTCAAGGAGTGAGCATCCAGTTGTGCTCCTGGGAGAGGGGCTTCACCTCCTGCCATTCACCTCCCAATCTTCCAAGAGGCACAGCAGGTAGTCTCTTCAGTAAAGGCATTTATTGGGGCAAAGGCTGCCCAGCCAGAGGTTTCCTGCCCCCTCCAAAGGGGTTCCCAATCCAGCCTGCACAATTTTGAGCACCCCCAAAGATACTCAGCGGTTCCCTTTCCAGTCTTTCTAGCTCTCCAAAGCTCCCCAACTTGTCTTAGTCCCAAGACTCTTCTGGGCAGGAGCTGCCAGAAGTCTTTTTCCTGTCTGCTCTTCCATTGTTGCTGGACATCTCTTGGGTGTCACCTTTGTGGATATGTCAACACAGCCATTCAAGACTCTATTGATGCTAAAGGTCCATCTTGTCTCCTCCTTCACTGTAGCCAACCCTGGAACCTAACCTGTTATTCTCTGTGCAGAGCTAATGGACTAAACTGAGTCACACAACATTCATAGGATCATAGGAAGGTCAGGATAGAAGGGACCTCACAAGGTCATTTAGTTGAGCTCTGTGCTCAAGGCAGGATCATCCTTGACTAAACCATCCCTGTCAAGTGTCTGTCTAACTTGTTCTTCAAACTTTCAACAGCTTGAGGCTGTGCTCCTAGTCCTGTTTCCTATGGTCATGGAGAAAAGCCCATTTCCATCCTCTCTTTAATTGCCCTTCAGATATATGAAGATTGTGATCAAATCCTCCCTCAATCTTCTCTTCCCTAAACTAAATAACCCTAGCTCTTTTAGCTTTTCCTCAATGTGAACTCAGTTAACACAGAAATATCGCAATAAAACCCACAGTCCATCACAAATGCTTGCAATTATAATGTTGTATGTTCTACATTCATTCTTGGTGTAATGAATACCACCAAGAATTCTGCAGTCTGCTGCATTTTACAAGCCCAACAAGAGGTGAAGTTTAAGAATGTATTCCCTCCTTACTCATTCCTCTGGACATCTGGGAATTTCTCTGTCAACCAGATTATGAAAACCAAGGGCATATTTTTAGGAGAATCACGTTCCTTTCCCTCCTTACAATGTTGTAACAAATTCAATGGGAGGATCCAACTCAGAGGAGACAAAGCCCAAAGCAATGAGACAGGCTGAGTGCCAGAAGGATGAGATCTCATCTGGGGAAATAATGAGGATCTTCTGCTGCACAGTTGATTCAACTTCTCTAGAGATGAGGGCTTGATTTCCTGTGTGGCTTGTGACATTCACTCTGGTTCCGTGCTGCTGGCTCATTTGCAGTGCACAGAGGCATAGCAATGTGCAGTGGGATATGCAGTTTAAAAAACAACTGACAGCATTTTCAGGCCATTCTGATTTGGCCTCTGAACCTTAATTGCACCCTAAGATTATCTCAGATGGGATCCCCTTCCTTTCTGTGCTATTGGATTGGGTCACCTTCCTTGGGCTGGAGTCCTGTGCTGGGAGGCACTGATACGTCAGCATGCCCATGATCACACAGGGCAGAGAGGAGAAGCCTTATACATATTTAGGACAGACATCCCTAGCCAGGCCATAAAACTCCTTACGGTATGGATTTTAATAAGCCTAGTCAGTGACTGAGATCCACTGACAGTGGATAGAAAACATTTTCTTGTTTTAGCCTGGCGTAGATAAATAATATAGTTATAAATAATAATTAAATATAATAATGCAAATAGTAAACACTAACAACCACTTTTATAAATGGGAGCTACTAAAGCTAGGCAAGTTATCTGCATAGTCCAGTTCCCCCTTATATACCTCTGGGCAGAGATGTGTATCTGAACTGTACAACCAGTATAAACACTAGATCTGCCTTACCTTTGTTATACAGGTAAAGAATGCTGTCAGGAAAGCAAAGTACAATTAAAAAGAAAAAAAAAAGGATAGAAGTGATGCCAATTCTGGTTAAACACGAGCAGCGCCAACGCAAGCTCCTCCACAGTTGCCCCACAGCGCAGTATTTGCAAAGACATCAAACAGAGGGTGTTTCCACCGCTGTTAAATGGATATAATTCTGCATTACTGGCGTATGTTTGAAACACTGCAGACATGTGTTTTATGTCTTAGAGCTGCCAGGCTGGTGTCTGTGCTTCCCAGATGTACTCAATCAAAGGCTTTCTCCTAAATGATATTTTCAGCCCGGTGATACCCTGAGGCCTGTGTGTGTTGCTTTCTTCTCAGAGGAGCTGTTAATTAGTTAACAAGGCTATTCTGTATCTCTATCTGTGAGTGTCTGTGAGAGAGCGAGAGTGTGAGGGTGTGTGAGCATAATCATCCAAAAAACCTGGAACCTTAAATGCAGACTGCTTCAAATTCCAGGGACATCTGGAGTCTAATCCCTGCACCTTTGCTAAGCCCAGACACTTGCAGAGGCCTGGTTTATGGGATTCTGGGTCTCTAACAAGCACTTCTCCCAAGCTTTTGACTCCTTTGAATCAGTCCCTTGCGGGAATGGCTTGTGACCTTCGGTTCTGCACTCAAACCCGGGTGCTGACGGGGCATCAGAACTGAATACTAAAATAAATCCAGACCAGCATTCCCCCCCGGGTAGATCTAGAGCCTGGTTCTGGTTCTGGTTCTGGGGAGTCTCTGGTCTAAAACCGTATCTGACTTCAAACCCCATCTTCTTAGCCTGCCCTAAGCCTGTCCTGTCTACACACATACACAGAGGGGTGGGGTGATCCTGCAGAAAGGATTTGATGGCAAGAACTTGGGATGGCTGCACACCTGGCCAGCATGGTCTGTACTTTAGCAACTCTTTAAAAAGCTTGGCCGATCCTGTTCTTAGGTGTCCCAGGTCCTAAGCCCTGACGCTTCATACCATGTGTCTAACTGCATAAAATTTCAGTACAGTTTAGTAACTGTATTTGTTGGGTGCCTGTTGCCCTCTAGTGGATGAGGGACCCAGTGACAAGAGATATCCTTTCTCTCAAGTGACTGTGGCTGGTGTCTTGGGAACAGCAAAGCCAGGGTTTCATTTTGGGTTCCCCAAGGGCAGGTTATGATTGATCTCATCATGGCACAAGTTGCACGCAGCACAGAGCTACTGAGAACTCCCTCAACCATTCTGAGCGCTGGTCTTCTGGGACATACCAGACCTAACAACCATCAGTGCAAAACTGGCCTGATGGGCTGTGAGATGGGTTAGAACTGAGCAAAGAGTGCCCTGCCAGGAAGGTCATTGTCATTGCTTCCTTGAGGGGGAGGAAACTCGTACTATTGTCTGACAGTGGGGGGCAAAGGCTGAAGAAGAAAATATTCCTCTGGTCATTTTTTTTCAGATCAGACTATTGAAGTTCCCAGTGGGTTTGGGATGCCAGAAAGGGTCCCAGGTGAGATGCCTCAGTGAGCAGAGTGCAGCTGCGGTGATGGGTGCATGCTATATCAGGTTCATCAGTTGGTCGTACTGTTTCTCACACAGACCTTGCCAATGTGCCACCTAAGGCAGAGCTGATGCCTGCATACCTTCTCTTGAGTAGCTTCAGCTCATCATCAAGGACCCATAGAGAACTTGCTGAATGAGAACTCCCTCTTGCCATCCTGACCAGGCCTGTTGCTGCTCCCCAGGGCACAGCAGGGAGCAGTTGCTTTTTAGAAACCTCCCTTTCCATTGTGGACTTCTTATCCCCAGTTTTTTTCCAGGTCAGACAGTTGAAGTTTTGAGTGGGTTTGGGCCTGAGGGTGCATGGCTAGAGCTGAAGAAGATCCTTACCCTAGTGCTTAGTGAGAAGAAAGGTGATAAGATCATTTGTAAGGAGATCTGAAACACGTTAGCACTGATTTTTCCTCCTGCCACGTATTGCTGCTTTCAGGGTTTCTGGAGGGTGGGGGGAGGATGGCTTTATAGGCCACTGTATCCCTGGTGGGGGTGTGTATAAGTGGACAAGTGGCTGGTGGTTAGGCCACACAACAGTCATGTGGCCGTCTTGAATCAGAAAAGCTAACGCACTCATACAACTAATGCACTCATTAACATGCATCATCATGCAACTGATTATCCCTGATTATTTTTCACTCCTGAGCATCCTGACCCACTGCAAGGCACCTCCTGTAATCATGTACAGGGAAGCATAAGCCTATCTTTGAGATGGTAAAGTGAACCCCATGCCTCTCTCTGCCAGTGACCATGCTCCGTGATTTCTCTGGCACAGACCTGCGCCCTCTGGATCTTCTCGCGGAGGTGGTTCCTGCTGGTGGCCTGAGGAACGGGATTAGGATGCTCCAAGTGCAGGGGGTGCGTGGATTCCAGCTCTTGGCTTCCCACCCCCATTCCCTCTGCTTCCCAGCATCTCGGATTTTTCTCCACTGTGACCACTTTCCAGAGGAATTCTCTATCATCGTCACCCTGAGAGTCCTCAGTGTCCCAGGAAAGGTAAACACAGATCCTTCTGTGACAAGATGCCTGTCCATTTTAATGAATGGTTGGAGTCGAGATCTGACTTGAAAACACTCATCATTCTCAGGTGGGGCACAGCCCAAACCTGGGATAGGAGCAGTCCAAAGATGTGGGGAGCTCCCAAGTTGGATTTGGGTGTAAGCACCTGATCCAGTCCCTGTTATCTGCTGCTCCTGCCTCTAGCCACATCCATAATGCAGAGCCATGCTTGTCAGGCCTTTCACCAGCACGCTGATGGATGCCTGCAGGAGCACATCTGTGCTGATTGTGCTGTACATGAAATGAGTCTCTCTTGGGAGATGAGGAATATGTCAGTAGAGGGGTGGGAGTAGGTAGCGATGGACTGATGTATGTACAAATGTCAGATAAATGGGTGCCCAGGACAGTCCATCTGAATAGTAGACCCCCTGCCACAGCCACTCTTCCCAAGAAATAAAGGCATGAATCATTGTTGGACTGAAGATCTTGCCTGACTAGAAGAGACATTTACTCAAAGGCATGAAAACAGAGGCAGAGTTGTGCTCTGAAAGTCCAGCTCTGTTCAGCACAAATGCCACCTTCTTACTCGGTGGGTCTGTCCACGTGTGAATCTAGAGCTGTGCGTGGCTTTTTGCTCCTCTTTTTGCCTTTGTTAATATTAGACATATTGTTGCAGCTCTGAGAGGTCACCATCAAGGCCCAGCTGGGCTTGGTGCTGTCCAAACACACAGAAAGAGATGTTCCCTGCCTGTGAAGGAATGTACAGTTTAACTTGGCAGTGGAGATAAAGTTGGGAGGGGAAGGAAGAGTTGTTATCTCTATATTACAGATAGGACTCAATGCAGAGATCACAGGGGGAATCTGTAGGAGAACCCACATTTTGAGCCCTCCCCTGCTCTTCCTGTCCATGAGCTCCCAGCCCTCCAGTGAAGTCAGAGTCAAGGGGTTTATTTATAGTGCCCCATGGACACTCCAACTCTCCCCAAACCGCATGGTAACACCAGACTTTCTTGCTTGTCTTTCAGAAAAATGAATACATCTTCACCATGATGGGAGAGGAGAGCAGCCCGGTGCTGGTAGGACTTAGGTACTCACTGAACAAACTCCACTTCCTTTTCTGGAGCAGGGAGCTGTCCAACGGCTGGCAGACGCGGGTCACCTTCCGAGACATCTCCTTGGTGGACAATCAGTGGCACACTCTTGTCTTGGCCGTATCTGGACATTCCTTCTCCCTCACTGTGGACTGCAGTATCCCTGTTGACATGTATGTATAGGGAGTACAGCTCAGACAGATCTCCTTCATGTAGGGGCTGGTTGGGAGGGCCCAGGGTCTTCATATTGGGCCTTCTAAAGGCTCTGGTGATACCCATGGATTCCTGCCATTTCACCCTGGCACAAGTCTGCATGATTTCCAGTGCTTCACAGAGGCCACTGTGTCTATTGTAGTGCTTCTCAACCTCCTTAGACTCAAGGCACCGCTCAGAAAATGCCAGCTCTTAGCTTTCATTCATTTGTTTGACTATGAAAAAAAACTTCTGTTGCAAAGGATGAAGAAAGACCACAGCATGGCAGAATGTTTGTGACACTATGGATTCCCATTTGAAATCTCTAGGTTTATCTTGGGAATGCTGTTTGTCCACCTAACAGTGCTAACATTGCATGGCACCTCTCAGCACCCTTAAAAGGATCTTGCAGCACCCCATGGTGCCACAGCACCTGGTTGAAAATCACTAGTCTAATAGATCCTTGGGAGCGGGCCCCAGAAGGCTGTGCCCTGCTGCAGCTCTGATCATCTTAGCATTGTCATGGGAGGCCCAGATTTCCTTAAGACCATGTCCTCTTCCCTCCCCATAAGTACCAAGATTCTTGCTAATAGGGACATCTTTCCTGCCTCAAAGAGACTTCAGCAGAAGTCTCCTTCAGGCCTGGGAACTGTCGTTGACCCATGACTGGGATCCCAAGGTACATTTTTTTGTAGAGCTGGCAGACATCCCGTCATGCTGGGCTAGACCACATCCTTTACTTTGGAGAGGGAAGCATCTATTATGGTCTGGCCAAGAGGACACAGTGGGGCAGGCAAAGAAGATCTTGGAGGAGTGGGAAGAAAAAATGGGTTCAATGCCCTGCAGATTCTGCTTCTCTGTGGTTGCTCTATTTCATCTGCAGGCTGACTGCAGGTCTGTGCTAGCACTGGCTGAAAACTGGCTAACCATTGTTTTCAACTGGAAATTAAAAATATTTTTGCAAAGTGTTTTGACCAAAAATTAAGCATTTCCTTTTGCATGCCTCTGGTAAAAAAGAGGGACTGTTTTAATTCACATCACAGAGTTAACCTCTGGAACTCAATGCCACAAGGCACTGTCTATGAGTCTAAGGGCTTAGTGTGCCAAATATGAACAGGTCTGTGAAAATGCAAATGTGCGGCAGGGAAGATCATTTTACCGGCTACATTTTATCACTGGTCAACATTTCCCTCTTTCCCCTACCTGTCTTGTGCTTATTAACTCCCATCCCCTCTGATCTTCCCTGCCACACATTTGCATTTTCACAGACCTACATTTTGCATATTGGCTTATGCTTCTCTTCCACCCAGGAGAGCACGCAAACCCCAGCAGACTCTCCCTGTGCCTGACAAAGGGTGTTTGTGCTTGAAAGCTTGTAAAGAACAATTTTTCCAGCTATTTAGCTGGCCTAATAAAAGATATCACTTTACCCCAAAGAACCTTGTCTGCCTATGTCCTTAGACCAACATGGCTATAACCAACACCCTCAAATATGAATAGACATTTTAGCCCCTGGTAAGGTGTGGAGGTTGGACTGGATGGATCATGGGTCTGAATCAATCTGGGGTACCTGTGAACCCTTCCCACTACTGGAAGCCTATTACTGTAATTATCCTCTTGGGCTGGCTAGGACCAGTGGGTGTTTTTTTTTTTCTGGTTATCCATGGATGCCATAAAATTAGCTTCCCTTTGTTCACAGGCCTCTTATCTTAACATTTCCAGGGTGGTGGACACACCGTTCCCTGCATCCTTGACCATAAAGGGAGCCAGCTTTTATGTTGGGAGCAGGAGGAGAAGGAAAGGGTTCTTTACGGTAAGTAACACTTGCAGGGTGGGATAGTTCTTGTGCATCTCTTTTAACACACATACAAGGGCAGGATGGACTTGGGCTCACAGGGCTATGGGCCAGTGTTACCCTTTGTCTCTGGGCTGGAGGCCTTATGAGTTGGAGGCATTCTCTGCCCCTGGCAGGACTGTCCGCAGGGAGTTCATGGAGCTATACTATACTGTGGGGAAGATGTTCCTGAGGATATGAGGAGGGGACAGTAGTTTTAAAAAATGACCCCAGAAAAAGGGTCATTTTTACAGCTGGTTGGAAAATTTCCAGCCAAGCACAATTTCATTAGCAAATGCTAGTTCATCAAAGCCAAAATGCTCCACAAAAATGTCTGGTTTTCAATGATCTTTCATCAGCCCACAAGCAGAGGGCTAGCAAAAGCCCCCCAGTTTGCTGCTGGCTCACCTGGTGGGCTGCTTAGGCACTTGGCTGCATGGAAGAGCTCTAAGACAGTTGTGTCATGTAAACTGCCCCTGTCCAGTGGTCACTGGGCTCCAGGCTCTGTGCCATGGAGCCTGAGACCCTGCTTCAGCTGGAGTTCTTGGGCCAGGCTCGGTGCTGCACAGTCGGCAGTGAGGGATCCCCATGCACCTTAGCTGGAGTGAGGGCTTCCAGGTTCCTAGCTGCAGGGCAGGGCAGACTTGCATGGTTGCTGCTCAGAGGGGGCTCTGCTCTGCAGACAGCCCTGGTCCCTGGTAGCCCACTCACCTAGGAGTCTAGCATCCCTGGGGCTTGGTCTCAGAGCAGTTGCTGTGGCAGGACTGCCCACAGCAGCCAACAGCCAACCTCAGAAGCCTTGGCAGTTGCTGCATGAAGTGGGTCTGCTTCTTGCCACTTTCTCTGCTGCTCACCACTGAGGAACAGCAGCAAAAGCACTTCTGTGTGATGGAGGCAGTGGTGGAGTTAATGAAGCTCCAGTAAGCTTTATTCAGGAGCTCCCAGCCAAAGCAGTTCTGTTTTGGAAGCTTTAGAGGATCTCATTTCATTTTGGATCAGAAGGAAAATCCAAACTTCAGCAGGGAATTCCAAGACTCAACCCACTGCAGTTAAATGCAGTTAAGTGCTGGAGTCTTCTCCATCACTCACATAGTTTCTAAGGGCCAAGGCAGTGTCTGGGTTACAGCTGCCAGCTGTGTTGACCTCCAGCCAATGTATGGGTCGTAGCTACAATGGGGATTGTTATCAGTCTTCATTCACCTTCCCAGATACCTGTGCAGTAGTCACAGCATGGCCTACACCATAGTTAGAAGAGGAGTGCTGCGATTGCTACAGAGCAGTGGCCAGCGATGGATTTTTCATGTGCTTTGCACAAAGTTCTTTGGGTTTTCTTGAGCATGGGAGGTCCTGCCTGAAATCCAGCTGCATTCTGTGAATCCTGCTATCAAGAACAGACACTGCGGGAGCTGAGCCAAGCAGATGGCACTAACCCGTGAGGAGTGTTGTGGCTTTTCCACTCTCTGTTAAGACATTTGCAAAATGTTAATAGATATGTACACAGATCTTGATTTATGGGTGCAGACCTAACCAGATTATTGAACATGGCCAGCTTGCTTCTCTGCAAGCAGATGTCGCCCCAGATATGGGATTTGTCTGAGGGGATGCCCCTTCCAGTCTTACAAAGCAAACCAGTCAATCCTAGGTTCATTTTCTGAATGTGTTAGGTCTCAGTCCTGGAGCTGATAGCATGTGAGCAGATGGCTGTACCAGGGCAGAGCTCCACTGATGCTAGGCTGAGGCACAAGGTGCTAGGTTGGCACATGGAATTGCCCTCAAGGGTCTTCTTACATTATCACACCCTGCTCCTCTCCTAGAGACAACAGCAGGTACAAAAGCTCCCAGGACTTTGGGAATGTCATGGCCAATAAAATGGAGTCTCCCAAAAAATGAGAAACATTGTTTGGCTAAGGTCACTAAGGGCTTGTCTCCACTCACCACCTCCACCCACTCCTACTCAGTGTCTCTCTAGGAAACCAAGGCAATGTAGTTGGAAAAGCCCTGAGCATACCCCCCCAGCACTGCTCTCAGGCTCTCTGCATTGGGCATCCTTCTTGGTGTGTGCTCAAGCACTTCCAGGCTCTATGGGGAGGCTGTGTAGACATGCTTAGCATGACGTCAGTGGTTTCTTGTGTGGTTAGCTGTCAGCTGCTAACAGTAATAGACTCTGAAAAGAGCCTATCGGTGGCCAGGAATTGAGGGTGGTGTCCCTGAGTACAAAGAATTCTCTCCTACAGTAACCAGGGTGAGCACAGTCTACTCTCCTTTAATTGATAATGACCCCCTCTAACCACTTCTACTAAACACCAAGAGAATCCATCCCTTAGACACTCGTGGTGCTTGAGCACACACCCCTTTTTAATGGAACTGGGGAAGGCCTGCATAGGGGCAATGCCATCATGATGCCACTCAGCAATGCCTATACATTGCCATTCTGGACCAGACCCCAGAGCCAGGGATGGGGTCAAGTGGCCCTGCAGCTATTGGGTGAGGTTCAGAAGCCACACCAAGGGTTTGGCACTGTATCACCAGACTACAGGGCTTTTGCAGATCTGCTTTTCCTTTTTCCATTCATGCTGTTTGTTCACTCTGCATTTTTTCCAGCTCAAGCTATTAAAACCAACCAGCCATTTCCACCCTTTGGCTGTGTTGGCTCTCCTGCTCGGGTCTTGTCAGAGCTGCAAATGCTGTGACAATATTCAGAGCCAAATCTATTCAGTGTTGCCCATTCTTGCAATTCTATTATTAGTCTTGCAATAATGCTTTTTCCCATCAGGTTCTAGCTGTTGGAGTCATATGACTATATGAAGATCTAAGCGTTCATTAAAAAAGAAAGTGCCTCCTAGTTGCAGAGGAAAACATAAAACAATGACCATGTTCACCCAAATTAGCTTGGTTTTTGAAGTCTCAAGATCTTTATGTCAAGTTCATCATTTTGAGGGTCTAATTCAATTTATTTACATGTCTTTATCATTGGGTTTATCACTGCACATCTCTGTTTTCAGTGCTGGAATTTAAAAAAAAAATGCACCAAGTTATTATATCAGCTTCTGCAAATCCCCTTTTAAAAAAACACAGCCTAAACTTGAAATTATTAGATAATGATCTTTATTTGGGCTGCTGGATTGTCTTCTGAATGCATTCTCTGCATTCTTTTGGGCTGCTGAATATGATGCATTTCTGGGCCTGTATCCCTCTAAGAGAACTGTCAGTGTAACACAGTGGTTTTCAATATTTTTATACCCAAATCACCCCTCAGAAAATGCCAAAACTTAGCTTTCACTCATTTTTTTGTTTACAGAAAAATAATAAACCGATTCTTTTGTTGCAAAGAACTCAGAAGGACCACAGCAGGTCAGAGTGTTTTTGACCCTGTGGATTCCTATTTGAAATCTCTAGATTTATCTTATGCATCATGTGTAGGTGTTTGCATACCTAGCAGTGCTAATATTATGCAGCACCCCACAGCACTCTTAGATGGATCTTGTGACACCCTTGTTGAGAATCACTGATGTAACTGCTCATAGCTGAGATGGTTTCTGTGAAAACAGTTTGGTTTCTGCTTAATTCTGCTCCACTGCATAAGAGCAAAATTCTGTCTTTTTCCCCCTGTGTTCCAGTAATCCCATCACTTTCACTGACACTTGCATGAAGATCATCATTAGAAGTGAGATGGTCAAAACCAGCTTTGTTGTGATGAAAATTCCAAAAACAGCAATTCCAAAACCAGCAGAGTTAGTCTGATGCTGGATGAATTTGAAAATCTCCCCCTACCCCGCAACATAGACTCCATGGGAAAATGAACAGGCCACCTGCATTGGTTGAAATAGTTTCAAATTCCAGTGTAAGCTACTTGTGAGATTTTTCAGGCAATTGAGAAGAAGCTCCCAAATCACTGGGCCTCACCACTGAACTATTCTGCAGTTGGCTGTGCTTGACCCATCTGTGCTTCCAAGAGTACCACAGCTCGATTAAGACAGATCAAACATAGGTCCAGATGGAGGTGCATGCTTAGAATAGTATGGAGACATGAGTCCGTGTGCCTGGTTCCTCTGTCTTGGCATCTAACCACTGCTGCACCACACTCTCTTTTCCAATCCAATCTTCCATGCAGTTGAGTCAATTATAAAACCGTGGTTGAATTTGGAGAGTTGATTCTGAACACAGGTGTAAGTGCAACAATGGTGTTATGGGCACTTGGTACATATGATCCGTCTCCGCAGCTTTTGCTGTCTAAGAAAAGGTTGGACCAATTTAAGAATAATGGGATGGGTTAGGGATAATGAATCCTGCATCTGTGCTAGAGGTTGGAGCCTGGAGGTGCTTTCAGATCCCATGATTTCATATTCCTTTAAACAAAAATGGTCTATATGTATGGCCTAGACTTGGGTTGTGGAATTTATTTGGCCTAGGGGCCAGTTCTAGCCCATGGGGCATCTTGTGGGCTGGATGACCTACCTCTGGCAGTGAGGCACCAACTTGTGCAACTCTGGAATCGAGGGAGTGACTGCTGCTGCCACTTGCCCCCCTTTTTCCTTGCTGCTGATCTGAGTTACTAGCAGACCCTAAATTTGGCAGCACCAAGGAGGTGCCAGGGGGAAGTAGCAACAGCATTTGCCCCCTGGGTTCTGGAACTGCACCAATGCAGTAGCTCTGGCAGCTGTGCCAACAAACCCTTCAGTCTTAACCCCTTGGGCCACCAGTTGGACAGCCTTGATCTAGATTGGTGGGTAGGTTTCTTTTTCAGTGCAATTCAAACTACTTTGGAGCACTGAAACCTGCCACTTTTCTGTCTTTCCATTTTTTCCCTCTCTTAGGACATTTGTAGAGTAGCTCAAATACTTCACAACATTATCAACGTGAATCTCTTTCTCCACTGGGAGAATGGCACGGCTTTACAAGCACTTGTGGTGCTCTGGTGTGGTGCCAGAGGACTGGAAGAGGGCCAACGTGGTTCCCATCTTCAAAAAGGGGAAGAAGGA